TTTCCTGAAAACTGAATTAAGACAATATTCAGCTGCAAACTGCCCCTGCCTAATTAGTGAGAATCCTTTGATATTCACGTCATTAAATAGAAAAGAATATTTTCAGGTGTGACTCATGAGGGCTAGGCTGCTTTAAAGACTGGGTAACCACTGAGGGGTAGTGTTTTCACTCACCTTCCTTGAAGGGATTCTTAGCAATAAATGACAGGAAGTCTCCCTCCATGGAAACTGAGCCCCTGCAGACTCCAAGGCTGGCCAGTTGTGGAAGGTGCAAGATGCCCTGTTAGTAGCTCTGCGGTCTGTGAGCTCCAAGGACTCACATGGGGAGGCCTCATGGAAGACTCTGGAACAGAGGAGACATGGAGAGCATTGCCGAGGGCAGTCAGAGACAGGGTGTTTCCCTTGGCCAAAAATAGGTGGAGGGAAGACCTGGATGTGACTAGTTTGCAGGACCTCCTCTATCTCTGACTCTGGAGTCCACACAGTATCTCTCTATTAACAGACCATCTCTCTGTTAAGGCTCACCTGCTCTTGCTTTTAGGCCTTAGCTGGGTATGCCCTTGACTTGATTTCCAACCCTGTAGGAACTGTAGAAGAGGCCTTCTGCCAAGGCAAGGGTTGCTTTAGTTTCAAGATCTATTCATCATTCATTCATTCATTTACCAGAAATTTATTGAGCAGCTACTATATGCCTAGTACTGTGCAAGGTACTGGGGACATAGGCAAGAAACACAGAATACCTGCCCTCAAGAGGTCAAATTCTTAATGAGGGTGCCAGACAAATAAAGAAATGGGCATAATACAGAGTGAGAGGGAAGATGGAGAGAAGCACTCAGTCCTCCAAGAGAACATTCTAACTCAGATTGGAGGAGTCAGGGAAGGCTTTTTGCAGGAGGTGGCAGCGTACATGCTTCATAAAGGGCCCAGAAGATTAGGCAGGTAGGTTCCAGTTCCAGTAATGCCTGAGTAGCTTGTTTCAGAATAACCTTGCCAATAACAATAATAAAATCTGGACAAAATATAAAGAATGACTATTGGAAGGCCTTGGAGAGTGAGCGTTAGCAGAAAAAAACAGAACTTTTGGCTGTTGAAAGAAGGAACCTTCATTAGTTTGTGTCTATGGTTACTTGGCTTTCCACCTTAAGTCTTCCACTCTACAAGTATGGTATATCTTTTCATAAACTAAGGTCTTATTTAATTTCCCTTTGCAGTGTTTTGAAATTTTCAGTGTATAGGTCTTGCACATCCTTTGTTAAATTTATTATTACGTATTCTATTTTTTTTGATGCTATTGTGAATGGAACTGTTTTTTCATTTTCTTCTTGTTTATTGCTAGTACATAGAAATACGGTGATTTTTGTATCAGGTCAGTTGAAAGGAGTCTTTTTTAACAAAGTGCTGTGACAACTGGATAAACATGAGAAAAAGAAATGAACCTTCGCCCCAGTCTCATCATGGATCATGTACCCAATGGCATGTACACTGGAACAGCTCCTAGAACAGCTCTGTCTAGTGGACCTTCCTGTGATGATGGGAATGTTCTCTGTGCTGTACAGTTAGGGAGCCACTGGCCACAGGTGGCTATTGAGCACTTGAATTTTGGGTAATATGACTGAGAAACCAAATTTTAAATTTTACTTAATTTTAATTAATTTACATTTAAATAGCCACTTATGGCTAGTGACTACTGTACTGGACAGCACAGTTCTAGAGGAAAGCATAGGAGAATATTTTCATGATTTTAGGGTAGGTAATTATTTCTTAGATAGGATATAAAAAGCATTAAGCATAAAATTAAAATGTTGATAAATTGAAAAAATTGAAATTTAAAGTTTCTGCATACCAAAAGACAACTTGAAGAAAATGAAAGTGAAAGTCACAGATCAAGAGAAAATGTTTGCAATACATACATCTGACAAAGAACTTATATTCAGAATATATTACAAAACTTCTACAAATCAATAACAAAAAACAAACAACCCAATTTTAAAAACGGGCAAAAGACTTGTACAGACACTTACAAAAGAAGGTAAACCAGTAAGCACATGAAGATGCTCAATATTAGACATCAGAGAAATGCACATTCAAATCACAATGAGATGCTATTTCACCCTCACTAGAATGGCTAATGTTAAAAAAACTGACAACACCAAATGTTGACAAGGATGTGGAACAACTGTAGCTCACATACATTGTGGTGAGAGTGTAAAATGGCACAACCACTTTGGAAAACTCTGCAGTTTCTCATAAAGTTAAGCATACATCTGCTGTATGACCCAGTAATTCTACTCTTAGGTATTTATGCAAGAGCAATAACAACACATATCTACAGAGAGACTGTTCAAGAATGTTCATAGCAGCTTTGCTCACAACACCCTAAACTGGAAACAACCCAAATGCCCTTCAACAGCAGAATGAATAAACAAATTGTAGTATATTAATATGATGGAATATTACTGAGCCAGAAAAAGAACAAACTATTGTTACATGCAACGACATAGATGAATCTCAAAAACATTATACTGAGCAAAAGCATCCAGACTCAAAAGGCTGTATGTTGTATGATTCCATTTGTATAAATTTCAAGAACAGGCTAAACTAATATGTGGTGATACAATTCAAAACAGATTGCCTGTAGGAGGTGGAAATTGACTGGAAGTTCAAGAACAAAGCTAATCAATGGAAATAGAAATCAGAGCAGTCTCGCCTGAAGGGGGTGGAAATTGAATGGAAGGAAACTTTCTAGGATAAAGGAAATATTCTGTATCTTGATTGGGGTGGTGGTTACATGGGTGTATACATTAATAAAAACACATTGAATTTTATACTTAAGATCTATGGATTTCAGTATGTAAATTTTACCCAATGCTAGGGTGAATAGAAACTGAATTGAGGCAAGCTGTGTCTGGGATCACAATTTTTCACGTACAGGTCCTATAGTTTCTCAGTCAAGGAAAGAAAATAGGAATGAAAGGTCGATCTGTTGAGTATTTAATGTTTACCAGACTTTAAGAGTGCAAAGGTGAACTTTCCCCTTGTACTTAGGGATGGAGAATCAGACAAGTTGCACTGTTTTCACACCAAGATCATCAGGGGAAAGATCAGTGGGAGCAGGGTGGGCAGGGAGGACATCTCAGAGGGGCCGGAATGTCCACTGCCTTGGCTGTGCCCTGGGGAGGGACAAAACTCCCTTGGTCTGCTGGGCCTGCGTTCTTCAGCAAGGGTGGTTAATGGAGCCAGTTCTGAGTGCTGAGATCATGTAGCCTGTGTTAGGGACGAGCTGCCGCACACAGTTGCGTTTCTGGTCTTTTACACTCAGTTGAAGCCCCAGGCAGGCAGAAAAGCTATCACTCAAAGCTCCTTAGCCCTGGATGGGGAATGGAATGGGCCCCAGCAATCTTAATCATGCTTTTCCCAAACATGTTAAGCCCCTCTTTTCCTAGGTGACATTTCCGCTTATTAGGTCACAGGTTGCTGGCACACTCATCCCTGTTCTTAAACATCATTTAAACCTGAGTGAAGCGACAATTAGGGGAAGAAAATCATTTACTGAAAGATAAGACCACTTAAATTTGCATTAAAGCAGAAGTCAGAGTCCCTCCAAAGTGATTTTTCTCTGAATTCTGGATACATGACCTAGTGAAAGTTGTACTCTTGTGTACGTCATTGATCTTCGCATCACATTTGCTCAGCAGGCAATGAGATTTGTTAACTAGGCTTATTACTAAAAGGAAAAACTCAGGCTTCCGAGAGGAATTCCTTGTCTGACGTCACCCAGGTAATTATGGTAGGAGATGGATCTGCTATAAAAGTTCCTCGGCTGGCTGGATTGCAAAACTTCTAGGATTACTGACCTCTGAGATCCAAGTGACTCTTGATAATCTGGAGGTTAGTATATATGGTCATATTTTCCAGACCTGTAAATGAATCCATGTCCCCTGCCCCATGGGAACTTGGTCATAAGCACTTTATCCTGAGTGATGGGATGGGAAGGAAGAGACTTAAGACCTGAAATCACTGAGATTACACACTTCAACATAGACCCTAGAGCCTAATTTTTGTCAGATTCTGTTCTAGGTTTGAAAATGTGTTCAGACATGGTTCTTGCCCTTAAGGAGTCGCTACCTGTGTGTGAGCAACCTTGACAAATCTGGAGAGGGTGGTGATTAGATGGGATATCAGATTATTCTATTTGTCCATGCTCTTTCTTTCATTCATTTGTGGGACTAATTGAGTTATTTTATTCATTGATTCACTGATTTATTACCACTGAATTGCTCATTTGTTCCACACTAAATAGGACAAGGAATTAGGGACCTGAGTATTATTCCCACTCCTATTACTAACTGGTTGTGTGACTCCAGTGGGCAATCTGACTGCTCCTTACCTCAGCTTACACATTTGTAAAATGGGTATAATAATTCTTGCCCGAAATGATGGAACTGGTCAGTTTGGAGAATCAAGTGAGATAAAGGGATATGACAATGCTTTGACAAATCTGTAACTCAGCTCTGTGAGACAGTATTGTTTTAGTTCAGGCCCACCTGATGCGGGTCAGTTGTTCTAAACTTGAGTATGAGTAGTGATCCTTAGGGATTCTGTGAAAATACAGATTACTGGGCCACACCTCCAGAGGTTCTGAGGGTCTGTGACCCAGGATTCTGCATTTTAAGAAGCACTTCAAGTAATTCTGATATAGATGATCCAAGAGTCCCACTAAAGACACTAGAGTATGATGCAGAATATTCGGGGACTCCTCAGCAAGATGTCTCTTTTCAGGAGGGTCCAGGGGCCTCGTCTTTGAGATTTGCCTTGGGTTTATTTGTACGTGTTCAGAAGTGATGTCTCTCAGTTCTGATGTTTGTCTGCATGCTCTGTACAGGGACTTACAATAGATACTCAATGGAAATATGCCGGCCTGCCCTACATGCCAAAAACTGCAATTCTGCAGGTGAATGAGCTGGAATGTAAGCAATCTTTTATTTTCCTTTTCTTTATAGCAATGCAGAGTCTTCAGAGAAGAGATTCAGAATGAACAGCTTTGTGTCAGACTTTGGAAGACCTCTGGAGCCAGATAAGGTGTTTTCTCGTCAGGGCAATGAGGAGTCCAGGTCTCTCTTTCACTGCTACATCAATGAAGTGGAACACTTGGACAGGGCCAAAGCTTGTCACCAGACCACAGTCCTCGACAGCAATGTTCAACTCCAGGAAGCCATCAGAAGCAGCGGGCGGCCAGAGGAGGAGCTGAACAGGCTTATGAAGTTTGACATCCCCAACTTCGTGAACACGGACCAGAACTCCTCCTTTGGGGAGGATGATCTTCTGATTTCAGAACCACCTATTGTTCTAGAAAATAAGCCAGTTTCCCAGACTTCATACAAAGACCTGGATTGAGAAACATGCTCTGTAGAGTGTCTTCCTGAAGATGTGGGTTTTGTCTTTGTATAGCAAGAAATCTCCATTCACCAAAATTGTGTGTGTGTCTGTGTGGGTGAGAGACACAGAGAGAGAGATGGAGAAAGACAAAGAGACAGAGAGGAGAGCCCCCTCAGAAGAGAGCTGATTAAGCCAAGATTTATGCCTTTAAACACAGTTGGGGGTTTTTTTAGATCAAAGTATTTACACTGTCTCATCTTCCTTATTGAAAAATTTGGCCACGTACTCGGTGTCAGCATTCTTGAATGGGGGTTGGCATACTGTGTTCCAGTCTGGCCCTGCTGCTACCATGCTCTACCTTTAGCAAGTTGCTTTACTACTCTGGGCTGCCATATTTTAACTGTAAGTGAGGAGTCTGGAGTAGATGATCCATTCCAGCTCTAATATTTTGTGAATCTATGACTTTCCATCCAGAGTAGGCTGGGATATACCTGAAGTAGTATAAACTAGGGCACTGCCTCCTATCTCTTGTTGTAGAATCCTCATGTCTATACCTTCCACTCAACCCTCAACTGAGCCCAGCTTTCATCAGGGGCCCGAGTATCTACCAGGATGTGAGGAGACTTGTCTCACACAGACACTGTGGCTAACATTTCTGTTGGTTGAGCTGAAACAGCTCTTCTGAGGACCTGTAGCCGCTCATGCTCAAACCTGGGGGCAGCCCTGCTGCCACCCCCCCAGGACGAGTACCAATCCATGGTACATCACATGGCACTTCTGTCCCCAAGAAATGTAGGGAAGGTTGTCAGCTGAGTGAGGGAAGGTGCCTTCAGTGTCTCTGTGTTAGTGTATCTTTGTCTGGTTACACTGCTGTGCCATTGGCTATGGAACAAGAAAAGTGCTATTTGCCGTGCTATTCACTTGGCAGATGCATAGGTGATGGTCATGTGGCTAGTGTGTGGGCGTTGAGCTGAGATGGTGAATGGGTTGTAAATAACCCACCAACAGATATTCAGGGTGGCCTGGTGCAACACAGAATTAACCCCCCACACTGGTATTGGAAACAACTTGGCTTTGCACACAGTTGCATGCATGGCCAACTGCTAAACTCTGGGTGGCATTTTCATTATGAATTTGTTCACCACTGTCTTGCTTAAGCTAAAAAATAAATGTATTTGAATGCACAGGAATATTCTCTGGTTCTTTGTTTTCACGCATCCGCTTTTTTTCATTTCCTTTAAAAACTATTCCATGTTTGTAATGCCTCCTAATTTCTGTCATCTCTAGGATCCCAGTGGTCTGAGTCATGCACCAGATTTCATTTAGGAATTATTCCACCAAAACAAATCCTTTTCCCATAATATCTTTTGAGGAGAATAATATTCTTTAAGACTCTAAGACTAAACAGTAGAACAAAGCATGGAATATTTCTTGTTATTAACACACATTCTTGCAAATAGATACTTGCTATTTTCATTAAAGAATGCTGATTTATTAACTTTTACTAATATGAATATTATTATTTGTAATTTAAGTAACCAAATAAAACCATGGGCTATTTCTTATTAAGATTCAAAACTATTTAAGTGGTATCTTATTTAGAAGTAGATTTATTAGTCAGAAGACTGAAGAATATTTAAGTTGGAAAAATATCCATGACTATACCATCATTTTTATTAACTAAATGTCAAGAACCGTGAAGGGTCTAAGATTTTACCCCTCTTGCAAGCTAACAAGTCAGCCTGGCGCAGTTTGTGGATGCTGGCAGGAGACACAAGACTCCTTGATCAGAGACAAAGAACTTCATTACAGCACAGCAGGCAGCATGTGCTTCATGTTCATGTTGGTTCCTGACTTCATTTCCTATCGCTGTTGTAGCAAAGTACCACAAACTTAGTGGCTTAAAGCAACACGAATTTATTCTCTTATAGTTCTAGAGTGCAGAAGTCCAAAATCAGTGTCAGCGGGTTGAAATCAAGGTGTCATCAGGCCTGTGTTCCATCTGGAGGCTCCAAGGAAGAATCTATTTCCTTGCCTTTTCCAGCTTCCAGAGGCTGCTCACACTCCTTGGCTCATGGCCCTGTATCACTGCAACCTCTGCTTCTACTTTACATCTCTGTCTCTGATCATCCTGTCTCTCTTATAAGGACCCTTGTGATTATATTGGATTACCCATGATAATCTCCCATCTCAAGATTCTTCATCACATCTACAGAGTCCTTTTTGCCATGGAAGGTACCCTATACACAGGTTCTAGGGATTAGGACATAGACATGTCTAGGGGGCCATTAGCCTACCACAGTCTTCCCTTTGGTCCTAAAGATTCATGTCCATCCCACGTGCAAAGTACATTCATCTTGTCCCAACATCCTTCAAAGTCTCAATTACTACAGCATCAACTCAAAGTTCAACGTATAATCTGAATCTTATCAGCTCAAAAGTCCCAAATTTCATCATCTTAATCATCTAAGTTGGGTAGGGGTGAGACAGACCCTGGGTATGATTCATCCTGGGGAAAAATCCTATATCTGTGGAACTGTAAAACTAGAAAACAAGTTATTTGATCTCAAAATGCAATGGTGGGACAAGCATAGGATACCAGTTACAGACATTCCTGTTAGAAAGGGAGAAACTAGAAGGAAAAAAGGAGTCACCAGTCCCAAGCAATTTCAAAATTCAACTAGGCTAACTCCATTACGTTGCGAGGCCTGGAAATAATCCTCTGTGGCTTGTGGCTTCACAATCTCAGCCTGTAGCTCTACTCTTGAAATCATCCTTCCTTTTTCTTGAAGGATAGAATGTGTTTGTAACTGAGTAGTTTATCAGCCTGTTTCCTGCACATGGAATTTTGCGAGTCTGACAGCCTTCTTTCATCTTGTCCTCTCTCTGTCCCTTAAAGCCCAAGTTGGCGGTGCTTCTGCTGGTATAACATTCTCAAGAACATTGTGAGTCTCCCCAATATGTCACGTATTCATTCCATTAGACAAGAGGCACAAATTACACCACAGAGTCATTCCTTGTCTTGAGGCAAGGGCATGACCGTTTGTAACTCCAAGCCAGTCAGCATAAGGTGGCTTCTGCTTTGATTAAAGGTAATTCTCTAGAAAAGCGGGCACCAGTGGGCCAATGGGAATGACACACTGGATAGTAAAGGAATACGGATAGAACACTACCAGTACCCTTTTATAAACAATAACTAGTGACATTTATTTGGCACTAAGTAGCATGCTAAGTTAATTTTTGTAACCCTTCTATGAGAACTCTCAACACAAAGGCTTAAACGATCCTTTTAAATATAAGTTGTCAGGTTAATTCTCTGCTCAAAACCCTGCAATGGCTTCCTGTTTCACTCAGGGAGGAAGCTGGAGTCCTTACAATGACCTCAAAGCCTCCTCCCACCCCCTCACCCCCCAGCTGATCTCTTCTGTTCTCCTCCTGGCTGACTCTGCTCTAGCCACTCTGGCCTCCCTGCTCTCCCTTGAAAACATCAGACATGCACCCATCTTAGGGCTGTCGTCCCAGCTGGTCTCTCTGTCTGGAACCCAGTCTAACACCAATCCTTAAAAGTGCAGAAGCTTTCCCAGCTGACTTGCAAGTCAGAGGGAGATGCGACCATGGAAGAATGCGCAGAGAGCTGCAAGGTTGCTGGCAATGATGCAAGAAGTGGGGGCACAAGCCAAGGAATGGGGGTGGCCTCTAGCTGGAAAAGCAAGGAAACATTCTCTCCCAGAACCTCCAGAAGGAACGCAGCCCTGCTGATACCTTGATTTCAGCCCAAGGAGAACTGTGTTGGACCTCTCACCTACAGATCTGTAAGATGATAAATTTGTGCTGTTTTAAGTCATTAAGTTTGTGGGAATTCGTTAAACAGTAATAGAAAACCAATATAGGGAGGATTTGTGTAAGAGATTAGAGGTCTGGATGCAGTGTGGAGAGGAAGGCTGGGGCCAGACTGACTAGTGCCTGGAAGGCTAGGGTAAGGATTCGGACGTTTACCCCAAAAAAACTACGGGGGAAAGTGGGAGGGTGGCGTGCAGCAGGCGGAGTTTTAGGAAGAACTACCTGGCGATGCTTTCTGAGGGCTATGTGGAGCGAGGAGAGCATTAGGGTAGAGGAATCAATTAAACCTCTGCCAGAAAAGTAAGGAGAAAAATGGTGAGAGGGCTTCAGTGTAGTGGCTATGGGAATGGAAAGGGACAGATAGATATAAGCATTATTTTGAAGAAATTGGCTACAGGTTTGAGGACTCCATGTCAGGGAGAGTTAGTCAATTTATGGACTGAATGTTTGTGTCCCCTCAAAATTTATATGTTGAAACCCTATCCCCTGTGTGATGGTATTGGGAGATGGGGGCTTTGGGAGGTGATTAGGATTAGATCCGGTCGTGAGGGTGGAGCCCCTATCAGTGGGATTACTGACCTTGTAAGAGTCCCAAGAGAGCTTGCTTCCCTCTGTTTTCCACCATGTGAAGATACAATGAGAAGACAGCCATCTTCAGGCCAGGAAGTGAACCCTCACCCAGACACCTTGATCTTGGACTTCCCAACTTCCAGAACTGTAAGAAATGTTGTTCAAGCCACCCAACCTATGGCAATTTGTTATAGCAGCCTGAATTCACTAAGACGGTCAAGAATGCCTCATAGTTTAGAACTGACTGGAGAATGTTGAAACCCAAGGGAGTGGGCAGCTGGTTTCAGGGAGAAAAACAAGGAGCTGGTTTCAAACTTGCTGAGTTTTATGAGGACATTGGGTAATTCAGGCAGGAATTGGGAACAAGGGCTGGCATTCAGGAGAGAGGAAAGCTAGAGCTGCAGATCCATCCAAC